TTTTATGTTTTGAGTGTTCGTTTTGAAATTGTTGAAAATGTGTTCTTTTTGTCATTTTGAAAAATTATTTTGAAAAACTCAAAATTGAAAACTTGTTCACTTCCAAACACATTTCTTCCCGTCTCTCTCTCTCTCTCTCTTCTTCCTATCTCCCTCTCTCCTTTTCCAACCACAAGCTTGGCTTTTTCACATAGTAAATCAATTGACCGTTTTAAATTCCTTCGGCGGCAACGTGTGTGGGGGTGAGGAGGGGAAGGAACAACTGGGAAATGGAGGTGAGGGGAAGGTGGCGATGGATTCGAAAATTGGAGCATTTTCTGAATTAATTGGTGCAATTCACATGTAACCCATAGTCCTATGTGCCTGCTGAAGACTCGATTGAGGCCGATTTGATGATTCAATGTTGAAGGGATAAGGAATTGAAGCGCGACCTTGGGTGTTGCCTGAGGGGAATCAATTTTTGAGGATATTTTTGATCAATTCTGGTATATGATTGGATTGTTGTTTGTGTGGTAATTGAAGAGGGGATTGAAGGCTTCACAATGGTATATGAATCCGGCCGTTTTGGAGGAGGTTAGCCGGAGTTTAGAGGATTGGGAAGTGGCGGTGGAGTGTTTTTTGGCTGAACAATGGAGGAGTTGTTTTGGGCTTGTTTCCCGTGTTTTCCAGATTGTGACGAAAACGGCAAAAATACCGTTTTCCGTTTTCTTCACATTTTTTTTTTGTTTTCAAAAATTCGTTTTCAAAAATGACAAAGAGAACGAGTTTTCACCGTTTTGAAAAATCGAAAACAGAAAATGGGTTGAAAATGGCAAAGAGAACGGCCCCTAAATGTTCGGGCCTGATTTGTGATTTCGTGAAAATAAATACCCGACCCATGAATTTTTCCCTACTATAGTATTAATGAACAAATTTTAGAATACTGGCCTGGCCAAACATCTCTTGTAGTATGTCGATTTTGTATTGTCGATTTTGTATTGCTTCATATAGAAAATCTTGAACTTGGATGCGTTGGCTCCACCTATGCGAGTGCCCGGTAAGGGTCACAGGCCCCCGTCCGTGAAGCAGGGCTATATAGGATTTGTTGGATCTATCCCATTTTGGGTTAACCAAACCCGAGTTTTAAACCAAAGTTTGGATTAATAATCCGATTTATTTAGTTTTATCTATTTTTTTTCCACCTTTAGAAGAATAAATTCCCATTATCGTAAAATTTATAGTTTATTATATGGTTTATAAAGCATTTTGCGTTGAAGTTACGCATGAATGGTATAAAGATAGGGTTAACACAAAGTTTACATGCATTTGAGTAGTTTCGCTCTTTAAGTTAAAGAAAGATGGGAGATGGAAGGGATAAGCATTATAGTGAGAATAAAGGGCTATTTTGTCATCTTCCTGCATATGCTGCCGGAGCTAGTCATCACCCTCCAACCCATTGGGGTTACCACCGCCCTCTGCCATCTAGCTATCCTCCGCCGCCGTGTGGATACCCACCGGCAGGTTATCCTCCTCCTGCTTTATACCCGCCATCTGCATATCCTCCACCAGGTGGATACCCTCCTCCAATGGTCGGTTATCCTGGTCCATATCATTCAGGTGCTTTTCTTGTCGTTAATTATTAAGAATAATTCTTGTGATAAACAATTGATGATAGATAATAATTCTTGAAGGTCATGGAAATCACTTTGGAGGACTGTTGGCCGGAGGTGCGGCGGCTGCTGCCGCAGCTTATGGAGGTCACCATTTAGCATACGGTGGCTACGGCCTCCACCATGGCGGTTATTCTGGGCATCACCACGGCAAGTTCAAGCATGGAAAATTTGGAAAGCATTGGAAGCATCATGGCATGTATGGGGGAAAGTTTAAGAAGTTCAAGAAATGGAAGTGAGATGTTTGTGCCTATTTTAATTGAGATTTGCTACAGGTACATCATACTGTACATAAGGGTGTATACCCTCTCACATGGAGTGAGACCTGCTTAAATTAAAAAATATTTTATACAGTGGGTCCCACCCCCCATGTGAGAGGGGTGTAGCCCCTTATGAACAATTTGTGATGTACAAGTAGCATTTTTTATTTTTTTTACCAACTAGAAACCAGTATAGGCGGCATGTATTTAGTATAAAATTTTGAACATAGAACAAAAAAATGAGGGGTGTAGCCCCTTATGTACATATTTTGATATACAAGTGGAATTGCTCATTTTAATTACTGTTTCGTGAAAATTTTCACTTCTTACTTCGTAAGTTTTATGCAGTGTGGACCTAAAATTACTATTTTTTTTTTCAACTTCGAATCAAATGGCTCCATGTGTCGTTTGTAAAAAAATAAATTCTTTTACTGAGCCTTTACATATCGCATGATTGTTACGGATTGAAGATTAGAAGGATGAATAATTCGTACTAAAACTATTCATTCCCTGCATTTATATATTTGTAGCTTTGTACGTGTTTTTCCATGGTTCCACCATAGTCGATATGGTTTTTGAGGCACTGTCATTCTTTATGGGGTCCGGTCATCTCCACATTGGACTTGAATGAACAATTATATGAATTGAGGCTCTTTTTTTTTTTTAAATATTGGGCATTTGAAAAAATAATTTTTTGTTTTGGATCTTCTTTGTTTGAGCGTATTCAATTCGACAAAAAATTTCAGTTACATAAAAGCAATACAATTTTCAAAAACTACATTTCTTGAAGTGTTACTTGTAGTGAAATAATGTAGTTCAAATTCTAATATGTTGATTATCCATGCTCGAGTGACATGATACAGTTCTCCCTAAGCATTCTTGTTCATCTAACTACTAATAAATGAAAATTTCTATATTGCCAAATCTATGTATACACATCTCGTCTATGATTCCACGAACTTTGCATTTACAAAGTTTTTATTTTAGCTAATGTAAAATAGTTTGCTTAAGTAATAAATTCTAAAACATTTGTTTTGTGGGTAGAAAGAATGAAGAGTGGTCTTTTTCGTTCAATTAAAACATTCCACTTGAGTTAGCTATGTCAACGAGTCGAGTCGAGTCGAGCCTGGGCAAAAAAATAAGGCTAAGCTCGAGCCTTAGCGGACCGAGTTGGCTCGATTTTTTATTTTTTTCAGCTATTTTAGCTTAATTTTTTTATTATTTTTAATTAATCATGGGTCGGCCTGTGTGGACACGGGTTTCCGGTCGAGCCCGAGCCAGCGAGTTTTTTTGCCACCATTAGCTTCAGCCGTAAGTCAAAACACAAGAACGTAAAAGTAAAGTAATTTTATTAGATATTAGAAAAAATGAAAAATAGGAATCCTAGCCCGTCTTGCCTTGATGGCTAGGAAGTCAAGTTCTTCCCACAGGGTTATGGGTTCAAGACTGGTTCATCTGCGAAATAAATTACCTCCCCACGTTTGCATTGGGCATTATAGATTTACAACTTTGTCTAAATTTTATGCCCTGTTTGATATTTCAACTTTATCTAAATTTTAGGTCATGTTTGATTGCAACGAATTTCATAAAAAATGTCACATTCGGGGAAAACGAATTCCATTTTGACCGTTTAATTGCAACATGAAAATAGAACCGAATTCCAAGGTACAATCATTTTAAGTTGCATTTTTTTTGTTTTCATGAAAAACAATTTCCTATGAGTTTGATAAATTTTTATTTTCCAACTAACATAGAATTGGAATTCCTTTCCACCTTTGCGTATCAAACGTACCCTTAATTTGAATAATTTAGAGAGTACAGAATTACTCTCACAGAATTCATATATGAATTTAAAATTTATCTCACATGGAGGTGGCCTCACATGATTAAAATAATGCCAAAAACCTCCCGCCACCCACCTATGATGTGTGTTGTCGGTGCCTGTAGCTTGACTCCCTTAATCCCTACTAATATAAAAGAGTCAATCCACCATTCACTATTCATTTGTGAAGCATTTTCGTTGACTATTTTATCCTAACCAATTAACACGTTTTCCTCCACTTTATAAACA